TCCAGAGCACAGCAACTTGAGACATTGGTTAGCTACTCTTTCTGCAATTGGAGCTCTGAGGCACATTCTAAAGACCACTATAATATTCCCATCATTAAAAGAATGAGATCCATATTCCTTGTATTACACTTTCAAAATCTTTCACTATCTGTCCTAGCCTAACATTTTCAGCCTGAAATCATCATTTTATTCTTGACAATCTCTAACTATTTAGTGTTTCCCAATTACACATAGAACTCTTCCATGTCAGCAATGTGTTTTATACTGTTTTGTTTTGTTTTGTTTTTTCCTGCCTGGAATACTCTACCTTTCATTCCTGATGTTTCTCCTTTAAAAAGTCTCAGCCAGCTGTGAATTCATCTCTCTAATGCTACTTCTTCCCTATTCCACTCCATTTAGGTGCTACCTGTCCATCTTCTCCACATGTGTGGTGCTTGCATTGTTACACTGTATCACTTAGGATTAGGCTTGACTGTGGATCATGAAAACCCAAAATAAAAATAGCTTAAACAATAACACAGTATTATTACTGTCTCCTGTAAAAGCCCAGAGGTAGCCAGCTCAGGCTTGGTGCTATAGCTCTGCTCCACAAAGGCCTTGGGGACCAAGACACCTTTGGACTTTCTACCTTACATCCCTAGGGTATGGCCCTTTCCTTAAGGGTCAAGGATGCAGCTCCAGTCATTATATCCACATGTTAAACAGTAGGATGGGGGACAGGGAAAGAAGGGACAGACAGCAGGTATCACCTGTCTCTTAGGAAGGTTACTAGAAGCCATCACAAACATTTACTCTTACATCCTGTTGTCTAGAACTTAGCCATATGGCAATACTAAGCCACTAGGGTGGCTGAGAAGTGTGGTCTTTATTCTGGGTGGCCATGTATGTCCAGACAAACAGAAGGGGAGGAGAATTACCAAAAGACAACTGGCAGTCTCTGCACTAGACTCTACCCAAATAGTCCATGTAATTTAAACACATTATTCATTCTGTTTCAGTCTTCTACTAGATTGTAAGCCCCTATGACAGTTACTGACCTGTGTAAGTTTGTCTCCCATATACTGTTAAGGGTGCCTCTAATGGTTAAGGTATTCAATCTGTATTTATTGAGTTTAGGAACTAAAAATTTATCAACATTTCTTATAGAGTAAGAAACAAACATGGTATCATGTAACTTTAATAAATCTAATGCTCAGTTTTCACTTAAAGTAGCCATCGGGAAAACCTAAAAATTTCAGGGAGTTAAATAAGGTATCAGGTATTTGTTGATTTATAACTAGTTTTTCTACTTCTCCTTCTGTATATTAACTAGTGTAAGTCTGAATTTCTGATCTCTGACAAATTGCTTAACCATTTTGGATTTTTTTCTGGCTCCTACTCTTATAATAATGATGATGATAAGAATAATAATGGTTATTGATATGATAATTATCATTTTAAAAGAGATTTTACGAGGATACTTACTTCTCCAATGTACTTCCTTCTCCTGGTGGTCACCTTTTCATTTTTCTTCTTTTCACTATAGCTTCTTATTTTCTTCTCTCTAGGCTGCTGCTATTTATAAAATATTTATAGTTTTAAACGTTGTTTTATTAAACTAAACCCTGCATTTATATAACCGTTTCTTGAGTGTCACCCAGATAATATGTGTGAAGTAGGACCTCAGGAGTGTATTAGATCTGATGTATATGATAACTGGCATGCCTTCGCAGACTCTCAGTCTAGTCTCAAGAAATATTCAAAGTTCATTTACTCTTATGTCACTCTTCTGTCATTTCCTTTTCATTCTTTTTCATGTATACATAATACTAGACAAGTGGTCAGTACTTGGTTTGACCAAATTACACTTAAAGTAAAATGTACAACAAAGGGAAGACTGAAATATTTTGACCAGGAACAAGGCCACAGAGTTTGAGAATCTTCATGGAATCACTAGCACTGAAGGACGCCATATGAAACCACTGTCCCAAGAAGCAGCTGGGGCAGGTTGGGTGGGAGGGACAGAAGATAGGCAAAACATTGGAACTTTGGAAACTTAGAGCAAGTGGACATTTTTCCTGAGATGTATGCCGTTGTCACTCAGTATCCTTGAGAAATTGGTTCCAGGAACCCCTGCGGATATCAAAATCTGCAGACACTAAAGTCCCTTGTATAAAATGATGTAGTATTTGCCTATAACCTATGCACATCCACTCTATATTACTTACAATACCTAATACAATGTAAATGCTATTTAAAGAATTGTTATGTTGTACTATTGTTTAAATGTATGTTTTTTTTTTTTTTCTTTGACTTATTTTCGGTACTGCAGTTGGATGAATCCAAAGATGTGGACTTGTGGGTACAAGGACCAACTATGTTTTATCTTGAAATGTCTAATATTGTTAGGTTTTCCTACTTCTTTAGTGATATTACAATTAAAATAAGCGGGTCCTTATAGATGGAGTAAATTTCCATAACCTGACCCGCTTTGCTGAATTCATCATCACCACAAGGGAACATACGGAGTTTCCTGATGAAAAAAACACGTTCCATTCTGTTTTTCCTCCCTTGCATTGACACTGTACCCCCTGGCATCAGATTAGTCTTTCATGTTCAGTCTGTTAAGCAAGGGACTGGAACATAAGTGGTAAAAATATTGTAAGTTCATAAAATTTTTTGAGGAAGATAAATTTTTAATTTTAAAAGTATCATAAAACATCTCAAAGCAGAAAAACTGTGTAGAGAGGAAACTGAACAAAGGGAAAGATGTTAAAGAAGACACGACAAAAAGACAGAAGGAGAAAGAAAATAGACTTGAGAGAAGAGCTTTAAACATTTTTTCTAAGCTGTTTGATTTTTCCCTTGGTCTTAACATATGTAAAATACTGTTTTATTGGGATGGATAGGTAAACCCAATAATGAGGAAGTAAAACAAGCACTAGACCTTTGGCATTCTATAATCTGATGAGAAAATAAGACATGAAGGGACATATGAATTTACATTAAATGACACCAAAACTCACCATGCCCATTTGTAATGAGAATAAGGCCATTCACCTTTATAAAACTTGTTGAAAAATTGTGGGATTTTTTTTTTTTTCAAAACATTTAAATTATAGTAACTGACAAAGTTGTGAATCATCAAACACATTTAAAGCTGCATTTTTCATGTAAGTATATATTTTGCCTTATAATTTAAGGCTGGTGTTTTTCTCCCTTAATCATTTATTTAACCGTTTGCCTATGCTTTTTTTTAACTGCACAGAGGGAACTCATATCTGTTATTTTCACAGGGAACATGATGCAAACAAAATCAATTACATGTATGCTCAGTATGTCAAAAATACTATGGAACCACTTAATATCCCAGATGTCAGTAAGGATAAAAGATTTCCCTGGACAGTAAGTAACCCAATTTTAGACTTGAAGCTAGAAGGCTGTTTTCCTATCAGATCTGTATTCACAGTTATTATTCTTAAACTGAAGGACTGGCTCTAGAATTGATTGTTTAGGAATGATCTGTACTTTCCCTCATCTGAGGAAGGAGAATAAAATAGATCATAACATCTATTGAAAGCTGTACTTGGGTATTTTTCTTTGTACTTTTTTCACCTTTTTAAATATCTATGAATAAGTAACCATACTGTTTTTGAAGTAATTTAGCTATTACCTACATAATGTCAATGACATTCCTTAGAAAATATTGCTAGAGTTTTTGTCTTATTTGCAAAAATTAGTTTCCGTGTGGCTTGAACTGATGCAATTGGTAATCCGTCATAGTGAGTAGCTCTGGGAAAATGGATGTCTGTTTTTCTTGACCTCAAAGCTACAAATATCTTGTTCTCAGAGACTGGAAAATTTGAATTATAGTATTCTCTCTCCCCTTTCAGGAAAGTATTGCACTTTGAGGCAGCTGCCTTGATTTTGTTATTTGGATGATTTTGTTATTTGGAGACACTGTTAGAACTTTAGCAATATAGCAATAGCAACAGTGTTATTAGTAAAGGACAGGTTTGTAACATGGTGCATTTTAGGTGCCATTTAGATTCTGCCCCTCTTGTTAAATTATTAGGGGCATTTACTACACTAGTATAGTAGATACTGTACTTCTACTTCTCTCTTTTTTTTTTTTTTACTTATTTTTATATTTTGCTTATTATTACTATAAGCTGCTTGGAAAGTTTAAAGTGAAAAAAAATCCGATATTTTTAACAAAGTAAAGACATTGCTTTATATTACATTTATGTGAACTTTATTATAATTTATACATTTTCTGCTTTCCAATGTTCTCTAGCTAATATAAAAGTTGAATATATAGTGCTTTCAAATGTGTCATATAGTTTCTATAGCATCTAATGGACAAATCAATCTCTTTACCATTTTAGCTATTTTGTTCTTTTTATTTTTGTTTAGACTGAAAATACAGGAAATGTAAGCCAGCAGTGCATTAGAAGTTTGCTTTGTACACCTATAAAAAATGGAAAGAAGAATAAAGTTATAGGTAAAGCCTTTCCTTTAACCTATACTCTAAACTTATTTTTAAAAATGTATTCCCAGCTATACTTCTTTCTTTCAAATGTAAGGAATAAAATGTTTAAAAACAGATAAAAATTGAAATGATAGAATAATTAAAATAATTGATAAATACGAACAGACATTTGTTAAATATCTTATAAACTATGGTGTACTTTTATAATTATTATCCTATTTCAGCAGAATTTTTTGTTTAGGAATGATTGATGATGTATTGAAATTTAGTAGACTGCATAAGAGATATCAAGTGATAATGTGTATTGTTTTAGAGTCTTATTTCCTGAATGTTGACTTTTTTAAGAATGTAGTTTAGATTATAGGTTATATTTATTTATTCATTTAATAAATATTTATTGAGCACTTCACTGTTCTTGGCAGTTGGGATAAATCAATGAACAAAGCAGAAATCCCTGCCCTCAGGAGCTTATGTTCTTAATATGATTATAGAAAAACCTCTACTTCAGGAATGATGGAAGAATGCATTCTCAGAAAAATTGGATGATGTTTCCTTTTATTGACATATTTGTTTCCTGGTATTGCAGTTATGTAAAGGTTAAGTAGGATTTTATATGCCAGTCATCCATATTGATGTTTCTGAGATGTAGTAAAAAAGGTCTGGACTGTTAACATTCTCCTAGGAACCTGGAAATAAAGAAAATATGATAACTTTTTAAGGGTTAAATTTAGAATTAAAACTCTAATGGACCAACATTAAGATATATAAATATAACTTTAAAAGTCTGAATACTTTTCCAGTTGCAAGATTTGACTATAATTTTATTGAATGAGAGTTTTAGTCAGAAAGAAGGGGCAGAAGGTATCAGTAATGAAAGTAGAAAAAGAAAAGACAGATATTAAAAGTGACTGTCCAAGTTCTGTGCAAGAGTAAAGTAACATTTGTCCCTAACACAGAGATGTATGTGGAGAGTTGCATCAGTGTGCACTGAGTATTCTGACCATATGGTGAGCCTTCACTAGGTTCAATGGATGCATCAGGTTATAGCTAGTAATATCTTTCCTATTCCCAGTCCCTCTGCCTAGAATGCATCTGTATTGTGAAAGGGATACATCAGCTTAGTACAATTCAACATTCTATGACTCTGATTTCCCTTGTTCTGATTCCAGTCCCAGCAATCCAACTTGTACTGATTACTTTCTTTTCCAGTGTAGGTTAGCTCATGGGAAGAGAATGCATTATTCATGTCCTCTCAAATATACTGGTTGCCCTGACAGTTGTTTCTTATTGTATGAGCTGGACTTGAGGCAATGGGTTGGAGCTGCAGGTGCTTGTACTTCTGTTTCTGGGACAGATCTGTTTCTTTTGGAACATTGATACTATTCTGGTTTTATAAATCAGTCTTATCAACTTAGTTACTGTGACGCCACCCCAGCAGTCTTCAGTATGCTAATCTAGTGCCTAAGCTCTAGGGTCACTCCTGACCCTGGTGAATTGTACATTAAAGCTGCTTAGAAAGCAGCGTGCCAACCCCCTGCTGGGCAGTTGAGTCAACTTGTCTACAGTTCTCCGAGAAAAAAGTAGAGGCTAATGAATCTGTGAGATCTTTTTAAAAGATTGTCACTGATCAGATCTCTAACATAAGCAATAAGAGAAAACTGCCAAGGGCGCCTTACAATATGATACCAAGTAAATGTTATAAAATTTTATTTCCTAGGGAGGTCAAGGGGAAAACTATATTATAAATGTTATGCTGTTTAAAATGCTTTTTTATAAGTATGAAGATTTACTACAAGCTGTCTTTGGCCTTTGAAAATGTGAAATTAAATTCCAGAAGGAATGCATTATTTACTAGTAAGTTGTCACAGGAAGGAAAGCAGAGTGGCAGCTTGCTCCATCGAGTCACATCTTCACTTTTCCCCAGCAGCATTTCTTTGGAGTAATAACTGGGAATGGGGAGTGGCTGGAGGAAGTTACGCATCAGGCCCCTTTGTCACTTTATGTGAAGGTAAATGAGAGCGAGTTAGGCAACATGGAAAGAGCACTGGACTAGGGGTCGGACTCACAGCACTGTGTTAGCGCTACTCATCTTCAACCACACTTATGGGCACATTACTCACCTCTGTGGAGTTGAACTTAGTAATTTTTCAGATCTGTTCAAAATTCACATTCTGTGATCCTGTCACTGTGTCAGACAAGTAAGCAAAAAATAAAAAAATGACACAATCAGACTTCTCTTGGCATGTATTTTGTATCACCCTACTTGATGACAGAGCCAAAAGTAGGCAAATGTTGATTTTGGAGAGAAAAAATCCTTGTAAATAAAAAGAAAGGAAAAAGAAATGATTTCTCTAGTCGGGTTTTGTGTGGGGTGAAGGGAGGTTCTCAAGCAGATCCCAAATATAAGGGGGAAAATTTCCAGTGTTCCCTGCTACTTTACAAGAGTGACAAAAGTAAGAATTTGATTTCTGGACTATACTTATGTATCTACAGTTGCAGCATGGAAAATGTCATGGTTGTGGACAATTTGTCTTACATGTCATAGGCCAGATTCCACTATTATGTAATTCTAATAGAGAATCCCTATAGAGTTACATGCAGAAAGACAGATGGACACATGTGTTTTTTGTAATCTTCTTCCTTCCTCTCATTTTTTCCATTACTGACATTTAGATGGAATTATAGACATTAGACCACTATGGGGCCCGCTGTCCCATCACATTTATTCCCTGAGGTATTGTTTCCTATCAAATGTTTTCTTAGCGCTCTGGCTAATACACAGTGTTTCCACTACTTTGCTTCCAATACTTTTAAGGAAATATATTTCTCATTGAACGTTCATTTATTTTAACTAACTATTTTCCCTACTTATTATGCTAAATATGCCTTTTTCCCATATCATATTTACCAGACATTTTAATGCCTATTTTTTCCATATCAATTTCAGGATAATTTTTCCAGAAATTAGTTCTATTCCCATTGAAAATTTTTTTTTCAAAAACAGATGCTTAGAACATCTCCACTTTAAATAGCTTGCTTTTTCATCTCCTTATTAATAAAGAAAAGCATAAAAATAAAAATTACAGTGCTGTACCACGCATTGTTTGACAGAGAAATATGAGAAATAAATATGTATTTGTAAGCTGGTTACTATCGTCATCCTTTCTCATGTACACTGTAAGAAGGTTCTGTTTTTTACTTCCACAATGAATTTTCTAAGTCTCTTACACTTTCAAACTTGTTCTGTTAGCCTGTTTGAACTGGCTAAACACCTACATCATTCCGATGCTCCAAATGGCGTGTTTTAGTTCCTTTCTATCAATAAAATTTGGGAGACCTGCATGCCTGCAGAATTTTTTTGAGTAGGCCTCAATAAATTTTTGAATCATTGATTGTCACTGCCACATCATCTTAGCTTACTCTGTTAATTTATTTTGGCTTTATTTAATGAATTACTCAGGGTTGGACCTTTAAATAGGTGAATGCGTGGAGAGATGAGCTGCTCTTCTGTGTGTTGCAGTAGAATTCCAAGGCATAAATAAGTATTCTAATATTATGTTAGCTTAAGTTTGACTAATACTTCATTTTACTTTTCATATTAAATTTTATCACTTGGCAATATCACTATCTGTTCATTTGTTTATAATTGTACATTGTCTTCCATGGTATACATTGCTCGTATTACTTAAAGTATCTAGGTTTTTTCTCAGAGAACTGTAAATTATGCTTAGTTATAATAAGCACAAGGAAATAAGATTGTAGGATATAAGGGCAGTAATAGGTGGAAGAAAATTAGAAAAAATGGAATTAAGATATTATAGTTTAGAATTACAAAAGTGAAGATCTATATAATAAAAATCAGTGTAAGGATGACAGCTTTAATAATTGGCTGAAGAAAGACAAAAATAAGGAAAACTTTTTAGTAGCACTAGAAAACAGAGAAGTAGTCTTTAGTGGATCAGAAACACCAAGGAATTCCTGGAACCTGTGAACTATACGTCATTTGTAAAGACACATTTTATACAACATGGGCAAAAATTGAATAGGGATAACAATATTTCTATCAAACAAAGTAGAATTTATGGTAAAGCATAATGTAAAGAATCACCTTTCATTGAGTAAAATTAAAACTCACAGAGAAAAATGTCATTGCCGTGAATGCTAATAAACTAAATAGCATCATTGACATACAAAAATTAAAACTGTTAAAAATACACGAAGAAATGGACAAAACGATCATCATAGTGGGCCTGAAGTATACTTGTCAGCGTTAAATTATAGGAAAAAATAAACATTAGAATTGATAAAAATTAAGTGGATTTAATTGACATATATAGCTTTACTTTCATGTTTCAGAATTTAAAAATACAGATTATTCTCAAATATGTGTCAGAAATCAAATATTGATGATATGCAATACAAAGTCAGTCATTTCTGAAAAGCAGAATTATTGGCCACTTTCATAGATCACAGTGCATTAAAACTGTTCATATATAACAAAAAGATAAATTGGAAGGAAAAAACTCACTTAGAACCTGAAAAGCATTCTCCTAAATAACAAAGAAGAAATCAAAAGTCATAATTAAATTATAACATTTTAGAAAATTAATTGTTCTATCAACATAACATAAAAACTCAAGATACATGGTCAAAGCTATACTCAGAGGAAATTATGTAGCTTTAAATATTTTATTATTATTAAGAAATAATGAAAAAATTTTAACTAAGCATTCAACCGTAGAAATTAGAAAAACAGCACCTTTCTCTTTCTCACTCTGCTGCCTTCCCCAAATAAATATATACATGAGAAGAAGGAAAGTAGAAGAAAAAATTGAAAAAATAAACTTATGAAATGGGAAGAAATAAATAAGAGATAATGGGCAAACACAATAATAATAGAGAAACCTCCAACAGATAACGAGGATATTAAGAGAGAAATGCAACTAGTAATGAGCGAAGGAATGTAACTACAGATACTGAAGACATTTTAAAATATATTTGACAATACAATGTAGCAAATAGGAATTAACGTTTGGTGAAATTGAGAATTTCTATAAAAGTTGGTAGTAACCAATACTAACTTGAGAGGATTTTAGAATTGTTCATGGGAGTAATTGAGAAAGAATTTGTTATTTTAAAAAAAAAAAAAAAAAAAGCTATTGCCCAAGGAAATTCTAACCAAAGCAATCAGAAGGGAGGCATGGTTGAAATAAGATGAGACACAGAAAAAAAGGAGGCAAAATAAAATAACTTACAAATTATATTATTGTTAAATGGAAAACCCAAAAAGAATTAGCTGAAAGTACCTGGTCTAGTAAGAGTTTTATAAGAAGCCTAATTATCAAATTATTAAAGAGAAATAATTTTAATATATGCCAAGACAAATTTGTTAGAAAACAATGGGAAAAAAAAACCCATTTACTATAGTAACAAAGAATAAACTTGGCCAGAAATATATGCCATCTATATGAGGAAAGCTATAAAATTCTGAGTGACTTAAAAATCATTAAGAAGTGAATACATTTCTGAAATGATTAAAATCTAGTTCATGAGATATCAAGTCTCCCCAGATTAGATTTGCATCAATTTTAATATGTATCCTTGTGAGATTTGGATGGGAGTGGGGAGGTTGTTCCTGATCAACATTTACAAACATTGATAATACTTACAACTGGAGGTGTAAAAAGAATTATAGCTGATGGTTATTGCCCTTTCAGAAATTAAATTTAGATTTAATTCAGAAATTAAAATGATATAAAAGTAAAATAATTAAAAGTATGGTATAGGTGCTAAAAGACATGCAAAGATTGATGAAACAGAACAGAAAGTCTAAATGTAGACCCACAATCTGGCATATATAATTGTGTTATTGTATATAACAGAGTAGGGTGTATTTCGTTATTTTTAAGTAAGATACTTGTGAATGAAAGACACCACTTTGTGTATCTCCAAGAAAGTAAAATATGACTTCAATTTACTATGACAAGCTATTGATCATAATGTGCATACTGATTTCAAAAATATTAAATTGCGGAAAAAGTATGTAATAGTTGAAACAAATATGAATTTAGTATATGGTGACAATTCAGATCATCAGAGAATGGATAACTGGTCAGATGTTATAAGACTCCAATAGCAGTTAGGGGAAAAAATTAAGTTGGATTATAAGATTAAATGTAATACATGTATAAAAGTACTAGGGAAAATACAGGTTTATATATCACATTAAAATGAGGAAGGCTGTTTTAAAAGCAAGGCACTATAGTTGAATATTATAAGGATAATTATTTTGGCTCCTTAAAAAATTAAATCTTTTATATAGCAAAAACCTCTCCAAATTAAGACAATTGACAAATGAAAAGTGCAGAAACGAAAGTATTTGCAAGATAGGTGATAAAGGTACATTTTACACTTTAATAAGGCAGGATGCTAATTTTGGAGTCCATGTTAGGTGGTAGAGAGGACATAAGACTGCAAGCAGGGTATAAGCATTGACCCCCCGTTCTGCCAAAGGGCCAGGAGGAAGACTGGTTGGTAACAACATCCAATCCCTGTAATTATGGAAAATAAAATATAACTGTTTAATTTTAGAAGCCATCTAGTCCCTTCAGCATAATTTCCAGAGGTGCCTTCAATGCTAACCAGCTCTCAGAGCTACTGTGATGACCACATTTTGAGTACTCTATGAACTCTATAATATTAGGTAGCACTGATAGTTTGCTGTCTAACCACTACTTCTTGGTTTTCCCCTAATGTTTTTGAATATTGTTTTAATTTACGATTGCACTTATTAATGGATTTTTGCTGAATGGTTCTCTTTTATTTTTGGTTTGGCATTAAACATTTCATTTTTAAATATAAATGATTCTGAGTTTGTATGGTTTATGAGTAATGTGGCATCTCAAATTTCCAGTTTTAAATTTCATTTTTGTACTCCTTACTTTTTTAGATCATTAAGGAAGAAGTTGTGAACACTCTATCTGTAAATGTGCCCAGGTTTTTAGTTTTCTTAAACAGGGAACCCCATTTGTTATAAACCTTCTTTTTCTTGATAACTTTTTGTTTTAACATGGGTATTTTTGCTTGATATAATTAAACTTTCTGAAGAGTGTAAAGAGATCGATGGGATTATCATGAATGCTATTTAAATATGGCTGTTCATATCACTTTCAAAAGAGAATTAATTTATATGCCTAGATGGATGGTTTGTCTTCAGTACCCATTTGTTGTTGTTGTTGTTGTTTTCCCCAGAGCTTAACTCTGTGTCTATAGATCTATATCTATAATGGTGGATCATAACATGGATATACTTTAGCTGTTCTGCTCTGAGCTGTATTTGTTACAGCAGAACCTTGATATTTCCACACATAACATTCCATTTAAAGGACTTGCGAACAATTCCAAAGGTATAATTTAACGACTCTTAATATATTCATTCAGTGAATTTTGACCAAGGCATAGATTTGAAGTACTGTACTAGAGAGACACTTAGCTAGGTCATAAGCCTCGCAGATTACTTGGTATTCACATAACCCCTCTGTGTTGTACTTTTCTTGCTATACGTGTAGTAATTCTTAGGAAGTAATTTTTAAAATCTTGTTTATGAAAAAGGCTATCGAGTAGGAGAAAACTTTGGTAGAACTGAAAGGCAATTCCATTGCGATGTGAGGATAAGGGCATGAAACGTGACTCTCAAGAAAATATGATTTGGGAGACAGAAGCCTGTGTAAACAGTTCCATATTTATAATTTGGGGATTCACAAAGGTTGGAGGACATAACCCTTGGTTTGTTTTTGTTTTTTGTTGTTCTTGTTGTTTTCTTCCACACACAGGATATATACATTTAAGATAATGAATGCTGATTGCCATTTAGTATATGGCTTTTACTTGCAGTGTCCAAATTCATTATATCTTGTTTAAAGTTTCCCTTGATTATGGAATAATTGATAGAAAAGTAACTTCTGCAGCACTAATGCTAATAGATAAGCATATAGATATCTTTACTGTTTAAAGTAGATAAACAAACAAAAAGAGCAAAAAGGGGAGTCCAGATCATTTATAGTATGAAAAGTAAAGAAAGTGAACATTGATAGTGGTAAAGGAGCTTAATGTGCAACCATCTTCCAGACTCTATGTAATCCTTTTGTGCTCCAGGAAAAATAAAGGATAATAGACTATTACAGTCTTCATGGGAAACTAGTTCAGTCAGAGCCGCAATTCTACATTCTTTCATTAATTCAGAAAACATTTTTTTAGTTCCTACTATATGCTAGGCATTTTGCCAGCTGAAGAAATGGAGCTGAAAAAAATAAATAAAACTCTAAGCCCAAGATACTAACAGTCTAGAAAGAGAGATAGAAATAAAATTTGCTATGATACACCAACTGGTCATGTTAAGGGAACAGAAAAATGCCTGCCTCACGTGTAAGTTAGAGGCCTCCTGGAGCTCACTGTGAAGGAGGTATAGGGATCAACTGGTGAGGCAGGAGGGAAGGCAGTGGGGAGCAGTGCACACCTGTGGAAAAGCATGAGCAGAGGTGTGGGCAAGCCAAGATGCAACCAGGGCACTGCTAGCAATGATCTGACAGGTAGTATGGCAGTTGAGAGTGGCCCTTGTGGCAGGCTGAGTTGGAGATTGAATTTTAGACCCACACATACCAGCTAAGTGGCTTAGAGCAAATGATGTAACCTTTCTGAGATTCAGTTTCCTCATCTGTAAAATGAGGATGGTCACATCTGCCTCACAGAATAAATTGTGAAGACTAGAGATCATATGTCTACCAAAGTATTTAGCACAATGTGTATCCCACAGTGGGCACATGGTGTAAGTCTGTTATTATATACTCAGAGACAGAAATGATAAGGACTTTAACAATACTTTGTTTACACAGAGGTAGGCTGGGTCATCGGTGAGACCACTAGGCTCAGAAACTCATAGAACAACCACTGCAGTGAAGATGTTGATGTTCCTAGATTTATCCTAATGTTCCATTTATGTTGACTACATGTTTGACTTTTATTTCTAAGTAGTCATTTTTATTTGCATACTTATTTGCAGCATCAGAAGTTTTCTGCAAATTTGATTCTCCTGGATACAGAGGCATAGATTTGAAATTTGAGACTTCCTATGTCAGTTGCCTCCTTTCTGCATTCTATTTTGTGTGTGTGTGTGTGTGTGTGTGTGTGTGTGTGTGTGTGTGTATTTAAACTTCTGGTTTCTCAGTAAGGAAAGGAGATCTGTTTGACCCAAAATTCTGATGTACATCAGAATTGTTCTCTTGGCAAGTGTACAAAAATCCAATTAGTTTCCAAAGGACAAATTGTCTTTGGGGACTCAACTGATCTAAAATTCGTGACTGAGTCTGGAAGAAAATAGTACTCTAGGATTTTTTGAACGCCAGCAATGTACATTTTGAACTACGTGAAACTAGTTCTCATATAAATTCTGTTTACTTCTCTAGCTTATATTTGTGGGGGTTAATTTGCTTATTTTGACACACTAAGCATTCCTAAGAGAAAAGTATAAGACAATCTTTGGGTGTGTTTGTTAAAATGCACAAAAACGATGATAATCAACAATAACATTTGCTCAATCTCTTGGATTGTTATAGGGGTTTGCCAACTTGTTAATAAGATGGAGGAGAATACTGGCAAGGTTAAGCCTTTCAACCGAAATGACGAACAGTTTCTGGAAGCTTTTGTCATCTTTTGTGGCTTGGGGATCCAGAACACGCAGATGTATGAAGCAGTGGAGAGAGCCATGGCCAAGCAAATGGTCACATTGGAGGTGGGTGAAGTTTAGGGACCTCTCACTCCAGACAGCCAGACATTTAGCTTTGACCTTTCCCTCATAATCACTCATGGTGTGTGTGTGTTTGGTCATTATGTCCTCACCAAAATTATGTGATTCAGATGATGAGATCCTTATTATCCTCAACTAAAGAGTGAAAGAAATAAGACTCAGAATATTTAAGAAACTTGTCAAATGTCATATAACCAAACCACAACTCAGGATGTTTATCCCTTTAGGCCTTTGCTTTTTCTGTAGAAAGCAATATTGACTTTAATAACCATTGACACAGATAACTACTGCGACTTATCTGTCCCTTTCCCATTGCCTGATCTTTCCGTGAGAACAGTTGTGAAAAAAAATTAAAAACAAACAAACAACAACAAAAAACAGAAACCCTAGGCACTCTTAAGAGAATTAGAAACAAGGAAAAGAAACAATAAAATCAATGAAAAGCAGGAAGGGTTTTAACTCCTGGAATCATCTGAGAAACTATTTGAAACTACAAATTTATATACCCTACTTCTGAAAGTTCTGATTCAGCAAGTCTTGGGTAGAAGCTCGGAATCTGTATGACTACCAAGCTCCCCCAAGTGACTGAAGGTGCAGGTAGCGAGTAAAGAAATCACTGGCTCCCAGGTACTGACCGAGGAATGCTCTTTCTCACAAAGGACCGGCCAACTCCAACAGGGTCAGTCCTTTCTATATATGTTTCACTAACTGCCTTGAAATTATTCAATTGATGTAACATGGAGATTTCTTATCTAGATGAAATTAGAGAAAATCAGTGTTTGGGATATAATAACATTTCCCTCAATCTCTCTTAAGTACATAACTAACCTAAAGAGCTAGAGGGACATATGTTATATAAAATTTACCAGATAGTACCCTTTACTTTCTATGCCAAATATATTATACTAATAGGTTTACTATAGTATTATATAAAAGACGTTCAATTATAAACCAGTGGACATCTGTTTCAAGTATATATGTACACATATACACAAAAGTATATAGTTCAAATATAGTTTCAATTAGGTACATGTACACATGTACGTATGTGTACAAATAGCTTTAAATATACATATACACATATATACATGTATCTGTGTATGTGTTTATATATTTTATATATAATATTTAATCTAATTTTTTCAGTTCCATGGTTTCTCATTGAAAAATTGAATCTAAGCTATCAATTAGAAGTTATTTCTTTTTTTTAATGCTTTATTATGGAAAGTTTCAAATATATACAGAAGTAGAGAGAACAGCTTAATAAGCCCTCACGTCCTCATGATCCATTCAGTAATTATCAACCCATGGCCATTATCACTCCATCCATTCCCACCTCACTCCTCTGCACTTCCCTTCCCCTCCCATTGGCTTAGTTTGAAGCAATCCCACACTTTGTATTACTTTGTTCAAAATCTCTGAATATTTTCCTGATTGAGACTTACTTCCATCTTTGTAGCTCTCCTTCAGTTAATTATATGGATAATTAGGCTTTAACCTAGTATAAAAAGTTTTTTATTTCAGGTCATATGTGAAGTCATTTCTATGATCATAGATACAACTTTGAAAAAAAATGGTCCTTTCTTTATGAGGCCATTGGACAAAAGCCAAGGGCACAAATCCCTCAGGTCTTCAAAAGATAGTGAATTATTTTGACTTGGAAATTGTGATCATTCTAATAACAATAAAACAATGATGACAATAAAAATAACTAAATTTATCAAATGTTTCAAGTGTATTCTAATGCTTACGTGTATTAAAACAGTTAATCCTTATGCCCCATGTGTAAGATGTTATTTTTATCTTTTGTGTGTGATAAACTTTTTTTTAACTTAGAATTTATTGTGTCATTTCTTTATTCATATATCCATGTTGCACTGCACTTGTTAGTATTAGTCTAATTCATGGTCACAGTCTTACCTTTTCTTGGGGAACCACCACTATGGTCTCAGTAGCAACAGGTTATAGCCATGACCCATCAATTTCACATGTACAGGAGAGAGCAGTTGTGAGTTTCTTGAGGTTTCCTAGTGATTAATGGTTCAAATGGCAAAAAAGATGCAATGTAGTGCAGTATTGTAACAGTTCTAAATCATAAGATGGTACAAATATGTATCATTTGGCTTTAAATTTTTCATTACTTAAAATTTTAAAGACTGGTTGAAGAAATACTGGTTTGGGTTGCTGAATTACCTTACTCACCATTTAAAGTCTGAAAATGAGCTACCTTTTCATCAATGATTTTTAAGCTTTTGGGTTTTTTTTGTAAATCTGTGTAGTCTCTGTCAAAAATGAACTTTGAAAAAATATGCTTTCAAAGCACAATAGGTATTTTAAATACAACCACTACTTTGGTTTAAAAGAATGTTTTAAAAAATCGCTTTGCAGTTTGAGTAGCCCTTACATGAAATGCTTGGGACCAGAAGTGTTTTGTATTTTGCATTTTTTTTTCAGATTTTTGAAATATGTGCATTATACTTAACGGTTGAGCAGTCCAAATCCAAAAATCTCAAACCCAAAAATGTTTCAAAATCCAAAACTCTGAGCAGCAGCATGACACTCAAAAGGAAATGCTCACTAGAGCGTTTTGGATTTCAGATTTTTAGGTTTGGGGTGCTCAACCTGTACTTAGAAATGATGACTTTTGACAATGGAAATTCAGTTAATAAGCCTGATTTTTTAACTCTACTAAGTAATGGAACGTGTATAGGTTAGGAATTGAAAGCTGGGTCCTAAGTCTCCTTGTCCTCTCACTAGGTGTGAGCTTACAGCCAAATCATGAGACTCCCTGAGCCTCAGTGTCCTCAACTGTCAAGGGGTGGCTTTACAGGCCAGCACTACTCTCTTCTCAGCTCTTGAATTGTAGGAGTGTAAAGGGATCCTTAAATCTGTATGACTATGTCCCAGGCATCCAGTTTTTCTGTGTGAATTCTAGAATGGTTACAGGCCTCATCTGAGAGCCACTTCTAGACTACTTTCTTTCCAAATATTAACATCAAAATGTCAGATTATGCAAAGATTTTCCCTTTAATTCTGTACACAAGCAAAAATAACTAAAGGTCAATATTGTCTTAAAAAACAAAACAAAACAAAATAAATTTTCTGTCAAGTTTGAGCCAAAAGTTATTTCTAGGCTGGCTTATAAATAATGTGTTTGTTATAGCAATAATGTCAGAATGGAAGTTACAAGAGTTTTCTTTAAATGTAGGGAGTATAACTTTTTGTTTTTCAAAACAAGCGATGGAATCTAAATCTGGGTTTTTCACTGTTGAAGAAAGCAGCAAACAAGATTTGGCATTCTGAGGATTCTAATTATCTCTCCAGGAAGATTTAGCAGATTTCCAAGCTTGAAGTTCTAGTCTACATTTGGTAGTTCTCTCCTGTGTAACCTGGACTTCTTTTCCTACCCTGTAGGTTCTGTCGTATCATGCTTCAGCAGCAGAGGAAGAAACAAGAGAGCTACAGTCGTTGGCGGTAATTCTTTTTCTTTTTAAAAATTGCTAATTTCAGACACCAAATCTAACCAAATTTGGTAAATATTTAGATAGATACTCATAAAAATCTTTAATTAACTCTGCTTTCTTGCAGGGATACAAAGTCACTGATAATACAAAGCAAAAGTCATTAAATAACTTATACTGACTGTGTAATACAGTGTATGATTCTGATACTGTTTTCCAGTAATTGTTATAATCATTACATCTTTTTGGGGC